AAGTAATCTCTTAATTTACCCACAGTCTCTTTTGCATCAAGAAGAATATCAAGATTATTTGCTTTGTCTAGATTATGCCTGTTTATGGAAAATAAAAAAAATGAGAATTTTGCTAAATAAATTCATGATAATGAAGTCCATTGTACTTACAAAAACGGGACACTTGTTTCAGGATTTAATGCAATGACATAGATTATTGATAGAATATACGGATCGTTTAAACGCGAACATAGATCGAACGCGTATTCAATTGCATTATGTGAAATAGATGTTTCTTCGATTGCCAAAAGAATTTTATAAGTCCTATTATAAAAAGAAAATTAATTCAATGTTTTATCAATCAAATTATTATAAAGTGATGGGGAGGCTTGGGTAACACATTCTTTCCTTTTTTAGATTTCGTTTACAAAGAAATATCAGGCAAAAAAAAAAAATTCAAGCCCCAAACTTTTTTTTTTTTTTTTTCTCAACGATAAAATTATTGCCATTACCAATTCAAATACAATAAATTCTAACAACATATTATAAATTCTATAAAAGAAAAAAAAAAAAATTCACCTAATGAAAATTTTTTTTTTTTTACTTACTTTCCGCTATACATTGTTTGATATGGGGAGAATAAAAAGTACAAGAGAGAGATATGAACAATGTTTAATTTTTTAAAAGAAGAAAAAAAAAAAAAAATACATAAAAATGGATATTCTGTAGAATTTACTAGATTCATGCAAGTTAATAGATAAAAAAATGCATATCACGTTACCCAATCAGATTATCGGAACAAAAGAAATTTTTTTTTTATTAAAAGCCCGTGATAATGACAGTCATTGCATAATTATTCTCTAAATGGCTGAAATGTATGTGCGAACAAACATTACGATGCGAAGATAATAGAAACAGGAGGGGTTGATTGTGAAACGGTAGAATTCATTTTCCAATTATTGTCAAGATGAGGAAATTCATTAAACATCCAACAGGACATAATCTAGACAAAGCAAATAATCTTGATATTCTTCTTGATGCAAAAGAGACTGTGGGTAAATTAAGAGATTACTT